TGTGTTATATTACTAGAACCTTCTAAATTTTCTTGTTATTTTGATCGAGTATTATTACATCATAATGTTGCTTAGTGTGTAGAATGTTCTAGACCTCGGTGAGACTATAAATATGCATTTAAAATGTATTTCAAGTAAGACAAAGATAGATAATTTGTGAGTTTAGCTGTAAAGTGTGTATGGTAGAACTTTTGCTTTTTCTTTATATGAAATTATTGCAGGTTGTATTGAAACAACAGAGTATTGAAGAATAATTTGTCTTGTCAGTTGTGTTATAAAGTAGTTGAACAAACCTGTGTGGACTTTTGACAAAAAGAGAGAATTATTTAAAGCTTTGGATACAACTTTGCAATTAACTGTGTAACAAACATCTATATATACGTTTGACTTGTTTTAAACCTTTCCCAATGGACTTGGTATAATATACACGAGTTAGTATACACATTTGTACATGTTAAGTATTTATACTATAACTTTTAATTCAGTACGTGCATCTTCACAAAATTTGGTATACCTTTAGTAAACATTACAAGTCTTTTGTACACAATAAATCAAATTCTTAAATGAAGTATTTTTACTAAAGATTTGTTTGTGAATATATCGAGTCAATTTCATTACAAGTCTGAGTGGAAGTGATTTTCATGTTGTGATTAAAAATCTCGAATTTCTTTTGTATAATCTTTAAAACCTCCTAAATACATTTCAAACATTTTTCAGTAAAACTATATCTTATCAGTTATTTAATGATATACTTGAGTCTTTAGCCTGTAGAGAAATCCCGAAATTATAATGAAAAACAAGTTGTAAAATTAGAAATAAAAGGAGCAGATGTACCTTTTTTTCATTATTATTGGTCATGTAGTTTCAAATTACTTCTCTTATGAGTTTGAATTGCTAAACATATTTATATTAAACATATTTATATATGTAATTTATCAGCTTGCATAGGTATCCTACAGTGTTCACAACAAGACTTTTCGAGAGTAACAACACTGCACTTTGAACCTGTCAAAATATTTATAATATGGTTTGGTGACAATACAATAAACATTGTAATTCTTTGAATATTGGTAATCCTTTTGGGGTATTTAGAATTTAGTGGCATTGGTGTACAAAGACGTTATTTGAGCACAAGCTTATAAAATATTATTTCTATTTTCAGCACTTGTTCTTCAACCAATAAAAACTCTAGTTTTGGTACTTACACTCATTTAGTTTTGCAAGCCTTATAAATATAGTCTTTGGAAAATATTCTTACTTTTGTAGCTAAAGTGTAGTGTTTGGAATTTAGCAGTATGGGTGTACAAAGATGTTATTTGAACACATGCTTATAAAATCCTATTTCCTTTTTCAGCACTTATTTGTCAACCAATAAAAACTCTAGTTTTGGTACTTACACTCATTTAGGAAAACATTCTTACTTTTACAGCTAAAGTGTAGTTTAGAAGTTCCCTTATAAACAGACCCTTAAGAAAAGCAGGTGGAACTAAACAAGAGGTTTGGAAGAATGGAGTAGGAGGAGGTACCACTAGTTGATTTGCTAGATACATTGATTTCTCAGCAATTCAAAGTAGTGGGAGGTTCTAGATTTATATCCTAGCTTGCCAGTATCTAAAATTCATGTTTCTAATTCATTAACCACTTGTAGACATATACACCTGGAAAAAAGTTAAGCACCCCCGTGTTTTTTTCAAGTGATTCAGATTCGACGTTCTCGTGACTGATTATAAATTACCATTCAATCTAAACGTGTTTATCAAATGAAATTATGCATTATTGGGCACAAGAAAACAAGATTATCACCGTAAGATAACAATTTTTAATTTACATATCATGACATCAAAATACGTACAGTTTTCACGCTTAAAATTATCTTTAAGTATTGTCAGTGAAAGCTCAAAAACGTTATTGAATTGTCAAATCACATTACAAAATGTCAATCATGACCCACACATTGATAATTAGTCATCGAAAAGTCAATATCGGGTAT